AATAATCAGCACGTGCAGCGGGAACACCACAACGCTAAGCTCCCACTTCGCCATTTACTGACTACTCATAAGCGATGTCGCTGATAGAACTTAATCATCTCTGTTCTTAAATCATTAAAATTAAAAAAATATAATGAAGATACAGAAGGCGTTAAATTGTTTTTGAATCTATCAGTTCAGGTAAAGAATACAAATGTTTATGCTACTGGAGATCACGTAAACATTCGTTTTAGTTTACCTCATCCTTACTGGATATAAACCAGCTCGGTAAAAAGTGGATACTGATTTTATCTAGTTGTCTAATTCAGTAGCTTATCGTGAGAGTTTATTTAATTACATAATAGAATGAATCTTGAATGGTTCTTTAGAATACAAGAATGTCGGATAGGCGCAATTAGAGTTCATGGCGGTACGTGAAGCGTTTAAATCAAAATTTATCAAGCGAGTGGAAACTGGAGATAATGTTATGACGGTTGCGGGGCGCAGCGGGCCCGACTATTCAACGGAGTCAATGGCGTGTGACCGCCGCCGCACCGCGCCCGCTGCCGAGAGGTCGCCGGGCGCTGGGTGACGTTTACATTCTTCAAGCTACAACTCGTCTTTTTTCCATTTGTTATAGAACCGCGCTACTGACGGATTGAGTTGTACGACCGAGCACGTTATCTATAAAGCGCGATCGGTTCCGCTCCGACGACATGAACTTTCCGATAAGTTCGCGGAACGCGTAACGAGCCAAAGATGGAAAACAATCAATCGGCATCTAATGGCGCGATAAACCCGTTTCAGCCGGCGTCGATCCGTGAAGGCAGCGTAACGTGAGGCTCGCATCCATTGACGCGCGTCGACGATCGATGGGGAGCGATCTCGCGGTCATCCTCTCCGGATCTTTGTCTGCATCGCTTCGGGAGCGGCATAAAATTATCTGGGCATTAGCGGGGCGTCCGGAGAAAGGCAACGGGAGGCGCGGGCAGAGACGGGTGCCCGGGGACCATTTGTCATCGGCGCGTGGGGCGGGGGGAGGAGATGGGGAGGCAGGGAGGGAGGCGGAAGAAAGTACCGGCGACTCGGGGCTGCAGACGCGGCCACAAAAACAAGACCGAGAGAGCAGGGGCGGGCCGCGGTACCACTGTGCCAGCGCGCCACTCGCCGCTACTGATACCAACTGATATATTATATTGTTACTGATAAAACATTTTATGTATTTGTCATCTACGTTTTTAAATATTTTAATTATATCAAAATCCAGTAGCCACTACAAGCGTATTTTCTCACTTATTTCCTAACCAACTGAAACTAGCATATTTTTCCAGCGGGGAAATTAAATATGATACATTTTACTTATAACTTTTCTTGAAACAAAGTCAAACTTTAAAAACATACATTAACTCAAGCTAAACATAATTTATTTTATGTTTAAAAAGGGTCAAGCGATCAGCACGTAAAGAGAGAAAGGTTGGGGAAGGAAGGCGTTGCAAAAAGCTCGAGCACAAACTATGTTTAATATTAGAACAGAAGGCGCGCAAGTTTTTGCGTAGAGCCGGGACGTAGCCGCGCCAACTGCGGACCAAAGCTTAGAATAATTAATATTTAGCTTGAGGGAATAACATAAAATTATATTTTATACGTGTGCGTGACAGCGTGGAATTAAAAAAAAACACAAAAATAATGAGTAGCCTATGTGTTCTTTTAGAGTATCCTCTACGTCTATGCCAAATTTCACCGAGATCCGTTCAGTCGTTTAGGCTACAAACTCTATTTATAGTATTAGTTAGAAGTAAAATTATGACTCTGCATAAATCTGCAGAAGAGCCAAATGTATAAAATTGGCATAATTGCGTTTACATTAGAGATCTAGTTTTCACCTGAAGTAAATCAGTTCTTCTTTACATAAACAGAAATGAATGTTTGAAATTCAAAGATCAAAATTTTCATTAGGACGATTTTCGAGAAAGTTCGGTTCGATAAATTCGATTCGGACCCTTTAGATTTAAACCCGAACGAAACTTTGGTTACCATGAATTTAAACGTACCATTAAATTAAACCAACTATTGTGTCAGGGCAGAAGTAAACTTTCTAAGGGACTGCTAAAGTAATCAAATGAAGTTTTAGTAAGTTGCCAGTACTTTACAAAACATGAAAGGAAATCTATAATTTTACCAGTACCAGTATCACCGTACTTTTTTTTTTAATTTATACAACTAAGCTTTTCTATTTCGACATAAACATTTTAGAAAATGGTTTAAATGATGTGCAAAACATTTAGCCAAAGGCAGTGATATCTGTAGGTATGTAGGGGCACAGAATCATTAGCGGCAGTCGGTCGTTTGTTAGAGCCGTTCGCAGTCGAGACGTGTTTTTGTCTCCTCGCCAAATTGCATCCGCACAATACGTGCGCCTCTAAATTGATATCGAATTAATTGCGATAAAACGGTTGTACTACTAGATTCTATGTACAGTTGTAGTCGCACTGCATTAACGTAGACTTCTAAGTGTATGAGAGCGGATAACTCCTTCCTGTTTATAAGTAACAAATTATCATTGTTGAATATCTAGATTTATCTATGTTAACATTATAAAAAGGAAAGGTTTTTATTTTTGTATGTATTGAAATAACTCAAAAGCTACTGAGCCGATTTCAAAAATTCTTTCACCAATAAATAGCTACATTATCACTGAGAAACATATGCTGTTTTTATTATTTTTATATACGCGCGCACGAAGACGCGAGCATCAGCGAGTATATTATAATTTATTACTTAAACATGCAGTGAAATAATAAAACACTAGACTTAATTGAAGATAAAATAAGCTTTCGTAAGGCAACCAACATTCTTGTTACTAACATGTAATTATTTTATAAACTTCTAACCTCTCAGCAGTAGCAAGCGGTAGCAACAGCAAGATAAGTTTTAGTGTAATTCTTCCGTAGTTTATTTATTTCTTTGTATACCATCTTCAATGTGTTCTTTGCATGTTTTGTATTCATCTAGCAAATCAACGTCGACAATAAGCTGATCGTAATGAACGTTACGTAAATCGTATGACCTTAAGGCATTTTGTTTTTAAAGTATAATTAATTTCGTATGAATCGCTAACGTCATAATTTTTGAATTATCATGAATTGAGCATCATTTGTCGGTCATTATGTTAATAGCATCTTGAGCATTAAAGTAGATTTCCATGGCGCGTGACTATTCAAGAGACATGGACAGTGGTCCGCAGTGCGGAGTGCCGCATCGTATAGAAGCACAGGACAGTATTTCCACATCATACTTGATATGCATGTATCTCCTTACGCACCGTGGAGACCAGCCTTAATACTTACTTACGTACAACCGAAATCCCCCACTAATCGACTTATGAGCGGAAGCTAGTCGTTTCGACCCGGATACACTCACGGTCACCTGTACTTTTATCACACTCGTAGGTAATGATTGTTATAATTAAATCGTTTTATTAGACATGTTAATGTAACAACTTTAAATTTTAATCGAGATATTACAAAACAGTAAAGGCTGACGAAACTTTTAACTGGGGGCTAGTTTTAGGGCTATTAGTGCCCTGGATGAGATTTCTACAGTACTCTCTTTATTAACATGCCTTTGTGGACAAGATTACCCGAGACTGTGTATCATAATTACTAGATGTATACCACCCCTTTCTGTCCAGTGCCTTAGACGGTGGCCCAACCACGTTCTATCTTAACTCAGGTGCTGCTTTCCACCGTTATTCTAGTTCAATATTATAGAAACAGTTCATTTAAGGCAGTTTATTGTAAAAGGTAATTGCGGTGTTTTAGAAAATTCCTTTGCGGATTTAAAGATTCTTAGGTACTTTATATGGTTATCGTCAACAAAATCATAGATTGAGTATACGTTTTTTAACTGATCTTGAGGTGCAGGGTAAATTTTTGCTTAGAAAATTCAAATCACAAGTGAAAACGAAAAAAACAATCACATTTCCGAGCCCTTTTGGTTTTCGTTATTGTCTTTATACTTTTTTACTAGCAAAGCGACTTGACAAATCAGAATTGAACGTCCCCGATAAGGAGACGCCATCGTTCCGCTCCAAAGAGCGTTTTTTTCTTGACTATTTAAGAAGATTCTTTAGTAAAATGACAATAACTATAGATCTTGAATCAATCAGAAGAATAGTCGAATAAATACTGGTATAAAAATCATGAATATACGAGAAAATTTTGCCACACTAAAATAATATACAGTCTATTTAATTTCTGGAATTTACTATATCAACTTGTTTTTATTTATTTTTATTTGGTACGAATTAAATGATGATAGGCTAGTATAAAAGCATTTTGACAGTAAAACTATAGACATCAATTTGTTTTGTTAAAAATGTTCTAAAGTAAAGTCTGTAACAAGTAGAGTGACTTATCACTCTTGATACTTCCTTACAAACACCAAATCTGAATAATGTGTATGTTAATGCCAATGCAATGAATTATTTATGTTAATTTAATAACCAGCACTATGTAATTACACCATGTCAAAGTTGAGTTAACACTTGAATACTAATTGATCATTTCAAATGTTCGAATAGTATAAAATAATTTGTACCTGATTTATTAATTTGAATAGCATGGAAATGGAGAAATAAATTTAAGAATTCAAATGCTTTTTAAGAAATTATCATCATCATCTACTCCTAATCAATCAGCAAAAAGTTTTTGTCCTCCACATAACTCTATCATATCTCAGTCATCACTCCCTTTTAGATGTCATCTTACATGCTATCCATCCATCTCTTTCTAAGTCTACCTCTACTGGTGTACCCTTCCACACACATAACTAACATTCTTGTAACATGCGATTAATTTTAAGTAATTATATCTGAAGTAATGTATTTTAAAGATTTTCTACTACTGCTTTATTATTTGCCTATAGTGTAGACACCCCTAACTTTAGCAGGCTCTGACCTTCTCAGTAGAGTCATATGACCTGGTGTATATTATAATCAATCTTATATTTTAAGTACTTACCTTACAAATAATTGTTCTTGATTGTTCACACGCCATGATACTACTGTAGCACCTGAAACAATTGAAACATATGTTTTAGTCAATACAAGACCTTTGAATGTCCTGGATTTCTCTTAATGGAGGTTTTTATGAGTACAATTATAAAACTATTCCCATCCTCCCTCGGAAAGCAAGGTAGTTTTTAAAGATTTCTCCCCGATGCCAACAAAGGTCACTTAGAAATGAGAACATAATAATTCATATTAAGTACTTGTATTTATATTACGTTTATGAACTTAACTAAATAAAATTGTGAATAACACTCTAGAAATATAAATATTTTCAAATTTTATCTAATTCTGTAATATAAAAATAATGATTATATAAAATTTTTAAGATTTCACAATTTTAATTTATATATTAGAATTCCTTATGTCTATTGAAAGATTACATAGTAATTATATACTAATGTTGTTAGACAACTTATGAATATTTTTTGTCAGTACATCAAATACCAACTTACAATTTAGAAGCAAGTATATACAGTTTACTTCCTACAATCCAATAGCCAAGGTCATATCGCCGCAGACAACTTATTCTATTCAACGAAACCGAAAAAAAAACTCGTTACCGTCTGTAATAGACACAAAATAGGATTTTGTATTGAACAAACCGCGATTAATTAAGCAACACATAACAATCATTAGTTATATTTTACGGAATAAAGAAATTATAAACTTTAGAAACATTTTTAAAGTTCCGCGCCTACTTAAGAAAATAAATACTGACAAAAACTTTTAAGGGTTTTAAGACAATTAATTACAGTCTAACAATTTTCAGTTGTGAAGTTTTTGTAGAAGTCAAAACGTTACCAATCATTTAATTTAATAAGCTTACTCACCGAAAAGATTTACGGTACAAGTTGTATTATTGCCTCTGTCGAGAACGACAACACTCGTCGCTGCCATTTTCCGTTTGACAGCGAAGCCAACTGCCAATGCCAAATGCCAAGCTAATAGTGATGTGCTGCTGCCTTCGATGTTGCTTTTTTATGAATGCAACATTATTGAATCTTTATGTTTATCAAAGTAAGCAATAGATGTTTGACATAAGTACTCCTTTTTACTTCTTTAAAAATATGCCGAAATCAAAACTTTCGAACTTAACAATTTCGTTTTACTAAATTAAATTCTCAACAAAAATTTCGTGAACGCAGACAAAATTGACCAATCAGAATCGGCCAACGCTGTGCCGGCTAATGTCACCGAAGGCATCATACGTGTATTTTTCCGGTCCTTGTCCTTTCCCTCAGCTTCACATTGTCGGCGAGAATAATCGCACGGTTGCACTCGCAGAATAAGTTGCCGTAAAAATGTTAGGCTCGTTTAAATTTGTGTTACTTTTAAGTTTAATTTATTTATGTAAAGCGGCTGAAGAAGATGTACTAGACCTTACAGACTCCGACTTTTCTTCCTTAGTATCCGAGCATGATACAGCACTCGTCATGTTTTACGCACCTTGGTGAGTTGGTGGAGTATATATCTCTTTTTATCACTTGACTTATATTAATTGAACTTATTAAAACTTAATCTGAATACTTAAATACAATTAGGTGCGGTCATTGTAAGAGATTGAAACCGGAATACGCGCAAGCGGCCGGCATCCTGAAGAACGATGAAACTCCGGTGATGCTTGCGAAAGTAGATTGTACGGAAGGTGGAAAGAGCACCTGCGAGAAGTTCTCCGTGTCAGGCTACCCTACGCTTAAAATCTTCAGAAAAGGCGAACTATCTCAAGAATATAACGGACCTAGAGAATCAAGTACGTAACTGTATATTAAAATTATATTTTTCTCAATGAATACCAAAATATTCTACTTATAACGCTTTTTTCGTCTTTTACAAATTAAATAATAAAAAAAACTCTACAGATGGTATTGTGAAATACATGCGGGCGCAAGTTGGACCTAGCTCTAAGGATCTGCTGACTGTAGCTGATTATGAAGCATTTACTTCCAAGGATGAGGTTGTTGTTGTTGGATTCTTCGAAAAGGAGACAGACCTCAAGGGAGAGTTCCTCAAGACAGCTGACAAAATGCGTGAGGAAGTCACCTTCGGCCATTCTTCTGCTAAGGAGGTTCTAGAAAAATCTGGATACAAGTAAGTATTGATGTTAAGACTTATTTGTTACTTGTAAGTATAAAAACTTGATTTCTCTAAAGTTAATTGTCACTGGAAAGTCTTAGTTTTATTTCTTTACAATTGTGAAAAATAACTGCATTTTATTACAAAATACTGGGACATCTTGCTGATAGTCACTTTTTTATCTTTCATAATTAAAGCATAACACTTTAACTAGCATTGTTAGAATATTTGCACAAGTGTTTGCTATTTATTGTCAACAATATAACACTTGTACTTACAAAAAAGTATCATAATTATTAATAACAATATTTCACATAATAATTGAATAATAGGTAGGTATTTTTAGAAATCTGTTTATTCAAATATTTCCTAAAATTTATATAATTTGTTATTAGTGTCCAGTAGCAGTAGTAACTTAGTTAAAATTCACTTTTACCATTATTTGATTAGATAAAATGACACTCATTTATTCATAGTGGTATATATCACTATTATGATAAATGAAATGTGATCTATGGACTATTTATTAAAATGTTCTTCAATTGTTATATTGAATCCAAATAAAGCTTTATCTTTAGTGCTTAAATGTAGACACAAAAATAAGAAAATAACCATCAATTTGTCTAAAGTCACTGCTACAATTTTACAGCTCATCTTCATAAATATTTTAAAGGTAAAATTTAGAATTACAGCTTTTTTTACACATAGCAGGATGGAGTAAAAGGATGCAATGTCCAATATCATAATTGATTGTTACTGAGTAATCATATTTAAATGTTTTTTTTTTCTAAATACACTATTGCATAGAAACTATTTCTAGATATATGCTATAAAATTTCTACTTTATGATTTTCTGGTTGCACAATTTATGTGCGAAATGGTTTAAATTCTATTGTTATCAAAAGTATTCAAGTTAATTTAGTTCAATATATAAACTTGTAAAAGTGTAACACATACATGTAAAAAACTAGGTTTTGCTTGCGACTTCGTCCACCTTTAAAAAAAATAATAAAAACATGGCCTATGTTATTCAGCGTTAATGTAGCTTTTAAATGATGAAATAATTTTTCAAATTGGCCCAGTAGTTTTTGAGTTATTTCAATACATACAAAAATAAAAATCTTTTCTCTTTGTAACATAAGTATAGATTAAAAATATGTAATTCAAACAGTAAAGAAAAACAATATTATTATATCGACCTTACAGCAGTTTAATGTATAGATTGCAATCTTGAGAATTATTATCGTTCATTTTTAATATGCCGGTATTTTAACTATTACCCATAATCTGCGTAATCTTATCGGTGGTAAACATACCGGCGTACCATCGGAGCATCTTTAATATACCCGAATCAAAAGTGTGATAAGCATGGTTAGATATTGGAGAATCGTTACATGTTAAATGCGTTAACTCATAAATCACAATGTTTTAAACGGTTAAGATTTTAATAGTATGCGTTAAAGCTGCCGAAAAATTGATCTATTTTAGAATTGGGTTTAGATTATAACACCTGATGTTAATTTGTATCTTTGTCTTTTTCCGTTTACTCAAATTGTGGTACTTTTAATTATTTTATTTAATTTGTCCTCATATAAAATTCAAAACATATTACAATTAGATAACTTTTATCGTAACTTGCATTGGTAATTAATGGAAAAAATACGTGTGCGAAAACATATTTGTAATTACACCGCCGACACGGACATGCCTTATTAACTTTCAAATAATGTTGATATAGCAAAATTATTCACCTATTTCACGCACGTTATTAGACTAATAACAAACGAGGTCGTATTTTATTCTATTTCTTACGTATTTGTGAATAACTCGAGTTTAGATATATTTCAAAATATTTTTTAAATAACAATTTTTTTCCAGGGACAATGTCGTACTGTTCCGTCCTAAACGTCTGCAGAACAAGTTTGAAGAGTCTTCAATAGAGTACAAAGGCGACAACCTCAAGGCCTTCATCAAGGAGAACTAGTGAGTATAATGTACAAAAATATCATGTTCCTCTACACAGCTTACATATGGAAATTGGAGATAGCAAACATTCTCTTCTTCCCTTATTCAATGATTGATCTTAACTTGGTCTTCAACTTCTAAGAAAATACTTTATAAACAAAAATTACATTTGTTTATCATTCTTTATAAATGCAGATTAAGTTCAGTAACAATTTTTAATATTAATTTTTAACTTTACAGCCATGGTTTAGTAGGCGTGCGTCAAAAGGACAACATTCAGGACTTTACCAACCCCCTGGTGGTGGCTTACTACGATGTTGACTATGTCAAGAACCCCAAGGGTACCAACTACTGGAGGAACCGTGTGCTTAAGGTAGCTTTTGGTTTTTTAAATACTCTCTTATATGTACGATCAGGGAATCTGGTGGTCATACACCTTAAGCTCCAGTAGTTCGAGAATTTTGTTTGAGATGACGCGGAACTATAACCAATAAGAAGCAGCTTTAAAATAGGTCGGAAAAAAAGTCGGTCAATGTACACTGCTAACTGCTTTTTATTGTCTCTGTTGTTTGTTTTGATTTAAGAAACGAAGTAATATTTCTGAAAGTCCAACACCGCGAATTACTGTGACTGTACTTATTAAAATTATTTTTAAAATTCTGTATTACTTGTTACTAATTGAAATTGTCATTTGTTGTCTTTCCCTTTTAGGTAGCAAAGGAGATGAGCGAGGTGAACTTTGCAGTGAGTGACAAGGATGACTTCACTCACGAGCTGAATGAATATGGCATGGATTATGTGAAGGCAGACAAGCCCATTGTTGCGGGACGAGATGCTGATGGCAACAAATTTATCATGACTGCTGAGTTCAGGTAAGTCATTTTTACAGGTTTTTTGTATAGATATCAAAGAGTAAACTAAAAAAGAAAAGATTTAAAACTGACTTTTACTTTTAGCATTGAGAACTTACTCGCTTTCACTAAAGATCTGATTGGCGGTAAACTGGAGCCCTTCATCAAGTCGGAGGCTCTGCCGGAGAACAACGATGGACCGGTTAAGGTGGCTGTTGGCAAGAACTTCAAGGAGCTGGTGACCGACAGCGGTAGGGACGCTCTTATTGAGTTCTATGCCCCCTGGTGTGGACATTGCCAGAAATTGGCTCCAGTGTGGGATGAACTTGGTGAAAAAGTAAGTCAATATAATATTGTTCAACTGCTTAAAGAGTTGATAACTTACTTCTTGAAGTTGACATGTTGTATTGTGTTCTTTAGTATTCCATTTTAAACATTCATGTGTTTTCTATAGCTCAAGAATGAAGATGTCGACATTGTGAAGATCGACGCGACCGCCAACGACTGGCCCAAGTCCCTCTTCGATGTATCTGGCTTCCCCACTATCTACTGGAAACCCAAGGATTCGGACAAGAAACCCGTCAGATATAACGTAAGTATTTTTGAAAAATAGTACAAAAAAACTTTATGATGTGACACTTTTGACAGGAAAATGATTGTTTAACCTAACAAATAAGATTGTTTTTTTGAAAATAATTTTAAATTTATTGCTATTACAGTAGGCAACCAATATTCTTCAACCATATATTTCAGTTGGCTACTATATTACTAAAACTTTTTGTACTATATGATCCCTTAAAGTCTTAACCAGTTATAGGCCATAACAGAGTTTTTAGATAGAAAAATTTTAATAATGTAAAGATTTTTAATACTGTTTTTTAACTGTTAATTTTTTGTTTTTGTAGGCCGGCCGGTCGTTGGAAGACTTCCTGAAATACGTATCAGAGCATGCGTCCAGTGAGCTCAAAGGCTGGGATAGGAAGGGTGTTGCCAAGAAGGACGAGTTGTAGGCAACATTGTGATGAACTTTCTATGAAAGATCTGTGTGTGAATGTAAAGTGTGAGAGTGCCTGCTAATGTTATAGATAACTCATTTGTTTTGATATGATACAGAGTATATACACAGAATAAATAATTTTTACACATCACAATTTTAAAAGTAGCAACACTTTATGCTACCTTAAATAGAAATTAATTGATATAGGGCAACACTTTACAATTGTCTCGAATAATTTTATATCATTGTTGAAATAGATTTTAATATTAAATAGGGGCACAATTGTATCTGATCAAAACAAATTAGAATCTATCAGATAATTCTAAATACAGTAATATTAAATGCATTTCTTATATGTGTCAGTGGGATAATGAAATAAATTAGGAAATATTTATATACATATTGTTTTTATTTAAACCTAACCTCTGTTCATCAAGAGAATTCTGGCAACATATTATTGTGTTGCCATAAAGGTAGTAAAAAAACGAAACAATAGAAATAATATAATTTATTTTACAACTTGGATATTTTTATCAGCAGGCTTCTCATATTTACAAAATGTGCCACTAGCTTTGAAATTCCTTTATACAAATTGTGTGTCAAAAGTATAACATATTTCAACAGTTAAAATCCCAATAAGAAAAAGGCTATAAACATATGGTAGACATAATTTTTTTTTGTTAAACATATAGTTCTTTTGAAATTCTTGTTGAATACTTAATTTGTGTATTTGTTAGTTGCAAACTTTGGCAACTTATGGTCAAAGTGCCCATAGAAATTGTTTACAGCTTACTATTTATATAAAACTCAAACTTAGCCATAAACAAAAGTACTTCTTACAGATTAATGGCATATACCATATAGTAAAAACATATAAAACAGTTGATAATTATGCAATATAGGAATATGCATGGTAAGAATCCATAATATAACATGTTTTTTATCAGGTTTACTATAGATTATGATGGTAAAATCACCAAAATGATTACAGATTTTCTACTTTCCATTTCTCTATCCACCCTATAATTGTTTCAACATTAGCGTGGAGCTGTTCCTGTGTGTTGTTCTGTAGTTCCATAACAATTTCCGGTTTGTATGAATTTTGAGCTTCTTCTAATAGAACTTCAAATATTTCACATTGAATGTTGTCTTCCAACTTCTTGCCTGAGTATCCTCTATAAAAAAAAAATAACTTGATGACAATACCAGAAAATAGAATGATTTAGTTAAAAAAATCCCAGTTTTTTTATGACCTGCCTCAGCAGACATCATTATTCTTTTTAACATGAGGTCTCATTTATATTTCTGTAATTTTATATGCAAATTAAACATTTATTTATATGTAAAAAGAAAGAATTGCCTTTAGTTTACCAGTTATGGTATAGATAATGTAAAAATTTTAACTAACCTTGCTACTAGTCTGTCATACAATATGGTATTATTTGTTCTGATAACAAAAACACCATCAAACCAGCGCTCTGGAAAAAATTCACTGCCATGGTAGTCAACTATGTTCCCACCTTTTTCCATCATACTTTCCATTATGTCCAGCATCTAGAAAACAATTTTACAATTTTTTGTATTAGTTATATCATGAAGATTATATGTTAACCAATAACAAATATTACCTTATCATCATTTAACACCGGACAATTATATTCTGGGTCATATTCTTCTAAACAATTGTATTCTTCAGCCAGTTTCGATACTTCTCTCCATGTGTACTTTGTTCGTTCAGATAATATTTGGCATATTGTTGATTTACCAACCCCTGGTGTTCCTGAAAGTATTAATAAATGTTATGTTCTAGATATGTGTATGACCATTTGTTGTAATACCTCTCTAAGATTTATATGCACATGAAGGATTTATGTTTAAAAACACCATTGAGTAACCTACGTTATAAATTTGTTAGTAAAGAAATTAATGTTTTTGATTAAGAGACCTTATTAGATTACTTAACGAAAATATACAATGTGGTGAAGTTTCTTAAATAATGTTTTAAAAAAAAAATATTCTGAAGTAACAACTAACCTGTAATTAAAATATTGGGTAAAAATCTGGGCCGCCTCTCCATTTTTCGGTTTTACTTATTAGGGTAAACTTTTAGTATAATATAATTAAATACAATATGAAATTACATTAAAACATATTAAAAACAAGGTGCTTTTAGAACCAAAACAATCCACGGCAACATGTGACACTGACAGCTGACACAGAATGACAACTTGTTTCCATAAATTTTCCTTTCTCTTTCCTAACTACTCTTTGAGAGTTTGAGACTGACATTTTGATTTTGACAGTAAGTTATGTCATAACTGGTCATAACCTTAAACTTAAAATAATTAAACAAAAAGTTATTAAATTCTATCTAATCTAGCCAGATTAAGTGAAAACATGATCATAATATCATTATGAGAATATATAAACCGCGAGCGTGGACAAGAGGACAAATCGTACTAGTCACTATATTGGGGGTTTTCTCTGGTGTTTACATTTGGAAACCTCTTTTCGAAGAACATTACCCTAGAAAGAAAAAAGCTTTAGAAACCAGTCCTTCTGAGTAATCAACTATGGATCCAATAAGACGATGGTTTAAACATTCAAGTCCGCTTACGAAGGTGTTAATGGCTGTATCTATTACTACAGCTCTTTACGTTGGCAATAAATTATGGTATGCTCCTTACACAAGAAGACGTAAGCTCAAAGAAGCTGAAGATTGGGCAAACTTTATTATTGAACAAGAAGAAAGATTGCAAGAAAATAAAGAAAATCAGTAATGATCTTGTTGTGTTAAGATATATTATTTAAATAGATTTAGTAAATGTTTTAAAACATTTGTTTGTTTTATTTTTACTGTTTCTGAAACTACTTATATTGATAATCTTATTTTGTGGCAAACTGTTTTCACATATTCCACATACACTAAGTAACAGTATTATCTCATATATTATATAATATGAGAGGTATAAAGTAACATCTAATGTATCTTTTTAAATAGGCAAATACATAAAAAGCAGCTTATTAAATAAAAACTGGAATTCATATGACCCTATAGAAGAAACATTTACTTATCCATAATCATTATTTATAGTTGTAGTTTAGGTAAACTTATCACTACCCCTTACTTCAGGACCTGCATTAGTGCAGGGCGCGGTTGGGCGAAAGCTCAGGGTGCAGGACAAATCAGATTTGCGAATTGCATAGTCTCACGTCAACCTCCTAAACTGCTAAAAAACTGGCGCAATAGAAACATCGCCCAGGGCGTCAGTAGCGCTAAAACCGCAACTGCCTCAACTTCAGCTAAAGTTATCCCAAATGTATTGTACTCCTCACCTATTGCTACCCCTCTCGTCTTTTATCTATAACTAAGATTTTTTATAGTACAATTTGGCAAAGGTATAACAACAAGCAGCCTCCTGATTTCATCAAAAATAGCGAAGCAGTCTATAAACATCAGGTGCGATGTCTACCGTTATCCGACAAAGGGGGAGAATCACAAATAAAGGACATTCCTGTTCTTCCCCTGCTCCAACAAATCTACTTTGGTTCGTATTAATAAACTCCTCTCCTTATAAGAAACTGGTACGAAGGCCACTAAAACTAGGCATTCATTTACACATTTACCAGACGAAACGCCAAATTACTTTTACTTTACGCCTGTCTTCTGGGTGGGCGTGGTCACTGGTTAATCGAGCCCATTCATGCCACAGATTTTGTGAGCTCTATCACTGTTAAAGACTACGTAAAATAAAGTATGTTAATATGTTCTCGGAATGCACAGCTCTACTAATATTTATTGCATAAAATACATTCATTATTTGCATATCGTCGAGCATTGAAAAAATGGTTCCAAATTCAACGCCGTCAGTCGAGGGCATTGCTCGCACGGTATGTAATCTAAAATGAGACCAAAATATGGAATTTTCGTGCAGTTCAATAACATTCGTATGACTACAACAGTAATAGTTAATAGAAAAAGCGAACGGCTGTATCGGAATGATCTCACATGCAGAGCCAGTTTTAGAATTAATAGAATAACATAACAGCCCCCAAAATCAATACGGTCTGTATTGAAAAATGGCGCCTGTGGCGCCCCAGCCGATGGGAACAAGTACAATTAAAATGGTCTTATTTGAAATACCTGTCATGTCTATTATACATACATGTACAGATTCTCTAGGGGGGCCAGCTATCCCCCGGCGACACCCACGAATGTGTCTACATTTTTGCAATATATCGGTGTACGGGTAGGGGATATAAGGGATGCTAAGTGCTCTGCAATCTTTGAGAATACAGCCAATGAACGGAATAATACTAGGGTCAGCTAAACAACCAATACCAATAGGTACTTTTTAATATTTTGTTTTAAAAAAAAAAGCTTTCATTTGTCAATTTATTACTAAAATGTCATTATGACCCTTGTTAATAGAGATAAAAATAAGCTTGTTTTATAATCGCAAAAAGTAAGGCTGTGGTAAGTAAATAACTACAGATTCTAGATTTCTGACCTTCCAATGTTGAACTTCTTTTTATTTCAATTTAACGTTCTCGAAATGGTTACCTTTCAATACACTGCTCTCCTTCAGTAAGTCACTATCGTCAGTCTAATTGGTACCCCATTTTTCTACCTATGTCTCACTATTGATTTTAGATTTATATCAGGTGTAGCTCAGAATAGCTACATTCTATTAAAAGTTTCGAATTCCCATCATGTTTTTAGTACGGATGTTATGGATAAATATGAAATTTCGGACATCCATAACATCCCTGGTTATCAGCGCCCTCTATCGGCCATACAAATTTCGTAACTATGTGAAAATAAGTTAAACGATAGAAAATGTGTTACAGAACTAGTGGTTTTTTGTGTGCATCTTAACAATGGTAACTTTTGCCATGATAATTGTAATTGGCTTATTTATTTGTATCTCTTGTTGAAGTCTATATCATGATTGTTATGAAGGAGATAATTACAAAAAAATGAATAAAATTCAAAATTTATTTAATGATAAAAAGGGTACATGAGTGATATAACTTAAGAAATAAAACTATAAATTACTGGAGGCTACATTTATTCTATGAATTTACATGTTGCAATCATAACAAAATATTTCAGATATATGTATAACCTTATAAATTATAATGTTACAGTATAAGCCTTGTAAAAAATATAGAAAAGGAATGAGTTTGTAGCCCTTTTTTCCTTCGGAACACCTTTCGGTGAATGAAGTGTCGCAGCTTTATAAAGAATTGTGCTGTTAACAGCGCTAGCTACTTTTTGCCCTTGGAAGCCTTCTCGGCAGCTTTGGTGACCTTTCCACCAGCGCCTTCCTTGAAGTTGACGGCCTTGATGACACCCACAGCGACGGTCTGCCTCATGTCACGTACGGCGAAACGACCCAGAGGCGGGAACTCTTGGAAGGACTCCACGCACAGGGGCTTGGAGGGTACAAGGTTGACAATGGCAGCGTCACCAGATTTGATGGACTTGGGGTTGTCTTCAGTGGATTTACCAGTACGACGGTCGACCTTCTCTTTGATTTCTGCGAATTTGCAGGCAATGTGAGCTGTGTGGCAATCCAACACTGGCGTGTAACCGTTGGAGATTTGACCGGGGTGGTTGAGAACGATGACCTGTGCGGTGAAGTCTGCAGCTCCCTTAGGGGGGTTGTTTTTGGAGTCGCCAGCGACGTAACCACGACGCAGCTCCTTGACGGAAACGTTCTTTACGTTGAAACCAACATTGTCACCGGGTACAGCTTCCTGGAGAGCTTCGTGGTGCATTTCAACAGACTTAACCTCAGTGGTGATGTTAGCAGGAGCGAATACGACGATGGTACCAGGCTTGAGGACACCGGTTTCCACTCTGCCTACGGGCACTGTTCCAATACCGCCGATTTTGTATACGTCCTGCAGGGGAAGACGGAGAGCCTTGTCGGTGGGACGAGCTGGGGGCAGGATAGCATCCAAGGCTTCAATCAGGCATTTGCCCTCAGCCTTGCCCTCCTTGCGCTCAACATTCCACCCCTTGAACCAGGGCATTTTGGTGGATGGCTCCAACATGTTGTCTCCGTGCCAGCCAGAAATGGGTACGAAAGCGACAGCCGCTGGGTTGTAACCGATTTTTTTGATATATGATGACACTTCCTTTTTGATTTCCTCAAAACGGGATTCGCTGTAAGGCGGCTCAGTGGAGTCCATTTTGTTGACTCCAACAATCAGTTGCTTGACACCGAGTGTGAACGCGAGCAGGGCGTGCTCACGGGTCTGTCCGTTCTTGGAGATACCAGCTTCGAACTCACCGGTACCGGCGGCGACGATGAGCACGGCGCAGTCAGCCTGAGATGTTCCTGTGATCATGTTCTTGATGAAATCTCTGTGTCCGGGAGCGTCGATGATGGTGACATAGTATTTGCTAGTCTCGAACTTCCACAGAGCGATGTCGATGGTGATACCACGCTCACGCTCGGCCTTCAGTTTGTCCAATACCCAGGCATACTTGAAGGAACCTTTGCCCATTTCCTGGGCCTCCTTCTCGAACTTCTCGATGGTACGTTTGTCGATACCACCACATTTGTAGATCAAGTGGCCAGTGGTGGTGGACTTGCCGGAGTCGACGTGTCCGATGACGACAATGTTAATGTGTATCTTTTCCTTGCCCATTTTTGGTTAGTCTAGAACAATGGAAAAATAAAACTTAGTTGAGACAAAATCGGTACAATTGCAAAAAGGACTCGCGATGCACATTCACAAGGTCATAGCCTCATGTTAGATACGCGGCCGGCAATATGGCGGCTCGGCGGTGGCATGGCCGCCTCGCCCCGTCTTGACACTTCACAATGAAAGTCTGCCATTATTGTAGGAACAAAATATTAATATATAATTTGAAACTTGTTATAATTTGCATAGAAATACTACTAAAATAAAATTTGAAGGCATGGAAAACTTGCAGCAGAAAACAGGGTGATTCACACCACGTGGTGACATGTGCCGGTTGATGCAAAAGAGAATGACGCGTAAGCAATTGCAAATATCAATCCTTTGATTTTACTACAATTTCTTAAGTTGAACACTTTAAGAAACAAAAGAAAGATAGGATTCGCGGATTAAAGCCGACACGTGATAATGTTAAAAACGTATGTTTAATCCACTTCAAAAGAAATTAAAACCAGACTAACGTATGTTCTATAAACAAAACAAAAAAAATCTTACATCTAAATACTAACACAATTTTAAAATAAAAGTAATAAATCACTAGGGTTTTCACGACACAAGAACTATCTTCTGGTTTTGACACTCACCACGGATTACAGTCAGCGTGTAATATCCGAGAAAGACTCCAACAGAATGAACGAGAAATGGATATTGATCAAACTGGAAGGAAAGAAAAGTAGTCACATCCGGTTTATAGTGTGGCGACATAATAAAACAAAATCTTACTTTAAATATAATTTAAAACAAAAAGCAATTGCTACACATAATTATGAACGATGAGCTTGGAAGTCAAAATTTAATGTTTTATTGATTGCACCATAGATCAGTGGTACATTAGTTTTTAGACTATAGTTACCATTTTTTTGTCCCTTTCTTTTTTAGCAAAGTAAACAACTATATACCGCATTATAAAAAAATGTTATGTTAAGAGGCCACGAATGTAAAGGTCTTGGCCTTTAATTTCTTTTGCGGAGGCTCAAAGGAGACTGAAGACGTTTCTTTATAATATTTCTAAAAGATTTAAGTTTTGCCTTTAACCTAGCAAAGATGATGTGGAAGAAAAGGTGAAGATAAATTATTTTTTATGCCCAAATATCTGGAATTTCTCCTTTTCTATTCTAATCTTCATTTTAGAACGACTAAATTAAAAATTCATTGTAAGACATCTTCTGAAAATTATGCAGTTTTCCGTACCTGGCTACCCTAAATTTATTTTGACGTCATATCTGCTTTACGTTGTGAAACGTTGCCCATGTGTTCGGAAATTTGTTATGAAATATGATGAAATTCTAATTTTCTAATATAAATGTAATTTGAGTATAAAAGGCGTTATTGCAATTTTAAAACCTACTTTCAATTATAATTATAAGAATGGTGATAACTCTCACGAAAAAATTTGTTTCATCATTTATGTTTTTATTCAAACATTATTTATTTTTTTGTTTAAATACAAGGTATTTCTTAAAAATCATCATTAAGTGTTGAATGTTGAACAATCTAGTAAAACATGGATAAAACATGTTTTAATTATTAATTTGTTGATTCTATTATATGACATTATTTTCTTATGGTATTTTTAATCTGTATCAAAAGTCACTTGAAAGCCGAACAACCAATAACCCGCACCCCTCTTAAACTTAACTTTAGCAAAAATCAGAAAATATTACAAAAAATAAATAAATTACAATGTGCTATACCTTAAATACGCTCAAATAAAATACAAGAACTGACGCGAAAACTTCATTTCAATTAAATATGTCAAATTGATTAATTATAAGTGTTTCATGCATACAATATTGGAGGAATAAATTCGGCACTATGTTTAAGAGTCGTGGAGATAGTAATATTGTATATAAATGTACTGTTCGGTTGTTGGAAGATACTGAAATATTAGAGTGCGAATTTCATGTAAGTCACTATAGTAAATTATCTTTATTTTGTCTTGACTACTGCCCATTATTCATTAAAAAAAATCAGCTCACAAAACCTACTAATTTAATCAACTCCAGTGTGTGAAATAATTACATTGGTGAAGGAATAAGTTGAAAAAAACCCACAATCAGCTATTTTGATTTTTTTCTTATTTTATAATGTTATGAAATGAAATTATTAATATGTGTTCCAGCCTGGTTACAAGGGGAAATATCTTTTAGAGCATGTATGCCAGCAGCTGAATTTAGCAGAAACTGATTATTTTGGACTGAGATATGTGGATTCTGCAGGCCAGAGGGTAAGATATGTTTATTCGATTGTTGCTTAACTATATTATATTCTCCACTAAATTATTTTTAATGGAAAAAAAAAACTTAGTGCAGTATAAAGTTAAAAAAAAAAGTTTTAATAATAATTGTGTTGCAATACCATTTCACTTCAACAACATTAAGCAACAAATATCAATGAAAGCTTATTATGTTTTTTATTGTTCATAATCATACTTAATTTATTTCAGCACTGGCTGCATATTGCTAAATTAATATTGAAACAAGTAAAAGGTAAGTAAAATTTCACTATTATGTATTTTGTACAACTCAAGAGAATGTAAGAAGTATGATATCATTTTTCTGTTTATTATAGTGTAATAACATTGGTATGCATTATTAATAAGTTAATAATTTCCTATGTATGAGTCAAAAGAGTTAAAACCATCAATAGAAATGTTATCTCAACAAATAAAAGGGACTTCAATTTAAGAACTGATAATCATATGGAGATTTGATGATATAGTTTAAAGTTTAAAAAAAATTATTTCAGATTCCTCACCGATACTCTTTAGTTTTCGAGTTAAATTCTATCCACCGAACCCACTTCTGCTGAAAGAGGATGTCACTCGGTTCCAAATATATTTGCAACTTAAACGGGACCTCTTGCATGGGAGGCTGTATTGTACAGCTAATGAAGCAGCTATGCTTGGTGCTTTAATCATACAGAGTAAGTAACTTACTCATCTAACATACACTATATATCCCCATTAAGGAGCTCAGAGCCTACCCTAAGTTAGGGGTAGGGCTCATAGTAGACCCTGCTTACCCAGGGCATGTTGGTTGACTTTACACATATTTTTAAATTTCTTCACTGATATGTGCAGATTGCAACATAATGTTTTCCTTCACTGTAAGAATGTCAGGTAAATTATGTACAAATAAAATTCAAAAGTTTAAAAGCCATTGTATTAGGCAAAGTATGTATTAGTTGTAGAGAACTTTATAATCTCCATTCCTTGTCCACCCTTTTCTTATAAGAAAGATCCTTTCCTTTCCTTGTCCTAAATACCTGTGTCCCCTCCATCGTCAATTAAGGTAGGCAACATATTTGAAATTGTGGATGTCTATGGGTGGGGAAAGTCACTTGACAATTTCAGCAAATTCAGGTGGCCTTCTGTGTTATAAAAAAGAAGTATGACATTCTTATAACATAGGCCTATTGAAATTTGTGTTTTAATATATATCATAGTAATTAAATATATGTTTGTTTCAGTCTTATATATAAAGTTAAACTTAGGAATAAACTGAATATAGACAAATATTAGTGCAAATTTTGCTTAAGCTTTGTATTTATTTGTAAGGCAGATAGAGTATTGAATATGATTGTGGTTTTTAGTTATGATAAAAGTGGTTATAACATGACTGTCACTTCCGTTATGGTCAATTTTATCCTTATCTGTTTTTTAACATATTTGTCAAGTATTATCAGTTTAGGTAATTTGATTTGTATTTCTATGTATTATATTTCTATTATAATTTGACATTTTCAGTCGAACTAGGCGATTACGATCCGAGTATACATGTAGGGAACTACGTGACGGAGATGCGTCTGTTGTTGAGACAAACAGATGCAATCGAGGCCAGGATACAGGTATGACCAAAATTGGCTCTTATTACTATTGACATAATGCTTGTTTTAAGATGTTTTAATAGAGATTTACTTCCTAACATCCTATGTTCACAATAAACATAGTTTTTACCATTTTTTAGGTTTGTAATTTGTTTAATTTTATTATTTCCAGGAGCTGCACCGGGAGCCTGTAGAGGGGACGGCGTGCGGCGCGGGCGGCGTGAAGGGTCTCAGCACTCAGGAGGCTGAGCGGACCTTCCTGAAGATCGCCTGCCAGCTTGATACCTACGGAGTTGACCCACATCCTGTTAAGGTTTGATAGTTTTATAGATAGACAAGTAGTTGCCCGTGACTTCTTCAGCTCGGAGTTAAAAAAAAAAATGACTTCCATACATCTAAGCTACATGGCAGTAAAATTCGGACGTTTTAGAGATTTGAAAAAAAATTGGTTATACAATGTTATTATCAACTAGCTGTTGCTGGCGACTTTGTCTGCGTGGAATTAAAACAAATAATAAACAACGTAGCCAATGTTATTCACAGATAAATAATACTAATGGTGAAAGAATGTTTGAAATCGGCCCAGTGCTTTTTGGATTTCAATACATACAAAAATACAAATCTTTCCTCTTTATAATATAAGTATTGGTAACTGTGTATATTTTTGTTTGTTTTCAGGACCACCGCGGCAACCAGCTGTACGTGGGCATCAACCACGGCGGTATCCTCACGTTCCAGGGCGGCCGCAAGACCAACCACTTCAAGTGGTCCGAAGTCAACAAAATCAATTTCGAAGGACGCATGTTTATCGTGCATCTAAATTATCCTGAAGTAAGTTAATTTTTCATTACAACCTATAAAACTAACATGTGTTAGAAATATCGGATTTTGTTCCCTTTCTCTGACAGTGATGTCATTTTTAAGCTATCTGAACCTCTATCAGCCAGTCCTATATCGGTGGGACAGGCCAAAGTTATAGTCCTTTGGAACAAGTTAATAAATTTATTCTATACTCGTATAATAAACCGTAAACACACACTTTGTTATGTGGGACGTTTGCCAAGTTTGCTATGGTTACTTCAATTTTCAGTCAATAGCAAGGGTTTTTTTTGAAAAATTTGCAATATAATAAATCAAAGTTTTATGTGGATGAAGGCACACGGTATTCGCTAGTTATTTTATTAAAGTGAATATTTTGTTACAGAAGAAGCACACAGTGGGCTTCAAGTGTCCGAGCGGCGCCGCGTGCCGGCACGTGTGGTGCTGCGCTATCGAACAGATGCTGTTTTTCACGTTAGTATATTAATAACAACCAAGATCTCAAAATTTAAGTTTACTGGAACATGGAAAGATACGAGGGAAGATCTTGAGCAGACAACACAGTTATAAAAATCTGTTATATTATTTGATTTCCTTATTTTAATTTTAATAAGCGCTATGCGCCAATAGCCTGGTTTGAAATACGGACTACCGATCTTGCGGTCCAGTGTTCGAATCCCGGCATTCGACTTTTGTCGTGAACCATATCCTAGCACAAGCCTAGAGATTAGTCGGAATGGTCAAAGGAAATATTAGTGAACTAACTTTCACCCGCGGATTTAAAAAAAAAAGACAAAAGTGATAGTCTATGTACTCTTCCAGACTATCCTCTACATTTATACCAAATTTCATCGAAATCAGTTTAGGCGTTTAGGCTACAAACTTAAATAAACATCCATCTGAACTTTCGCATTTTAAAATTTCAAATATTAGTATGATTAACAAAAATTTACTAATAATTTTTGGATTAAAATAAAACTAGCTTTCGCTCGCGGTTCCGTCCGCTTGGAATTAAAAAAAAAAAACAAAAGTGAGTAGCCTATGTGTTCTTCCAGACTATCCTATACATCTGTACCAAATTTCATCAAAATCCGTTCAGCAGTTTAGACTACAAACTAACAAACATCCATCCATCCATCCATCCATCCATCCATCCATCCATCCATCCATCCATCCATCCATCTAAACTTTCGCATTTATAATATTATTTACATTATTTAGATAGTTATATTACTTAGATATAATTTGGTTGCAGTTTGCCATCGTCTTCGGACGCGTGCGTGTACTCCGGCGGCGGGCTATTCTCGTGGGGTACCAAGTTCAAGTACGTTGGTCGCACCGAGAGAGAGATACTAGAAAGGGACGGTCTACTGCCTCCCAGGGACCATTCGGTATTATCTACATATAATCTAGATTTACACATAGATATTAGAATTATATTTATGCATTGCTTTTACCCTCGAATCCGTCTGAACGGTATTAACTTAGTAAGTAGCCTATGTGATCTAGACTATCGTTACCTTAACCAAATTTCATCGAAATTAATTCAGCAGTTAAGGTTACAAACTCTAACATCCATCCATCTAAACTTTCGCAAAAAACTAGAAAATAAATAACTACAAAGGTAACAAGGTTGCTGAAAGAAACATAGCAGCAGGAAAAAAAGAAAATAATAAAAAAAAAACTTTCGTATTTATAATATTAATGTAATGTAATAATATAAAACTCGCTTTTTTCCGGGGTTCCGTGCGCGAGGAACAATAATTTAGTAGCCTAGATGTTCCACACCTGTGCCAAATTCCATTAAGATCCGGTGAGCCGTTCCCGAGCATTCTAACAAACATCCATACATATAAACGTTCACATTTACAATATGAGTAAAATTTAAATAGTCTAGATCAAACAACTAAATTACTAAGAGATTACAATTCTATTAAATACTTTGTGTATTTAATATTTTGAGGTTATGTTTTAGTAAATATTTGTTTGTCAGGAGGAAGGTTCAAGCGGCGGCGGCAGGAGGAAAGCGTCGAGCGTGCCCGCCACGCCCTCCACACCCATGACTGGGGACTTTGGTAAGCATTTTTTGAGAAAAAATTTAAAATATGTCAATGTACAGTCGAGTACATTGAGTTGAGCACATGCATGTACATTCAAATGGTTGAAGTTTACGAGGTGGTGGACCTATAGTTTTCCTAACTGTATGTCATTTGGTCTGAAAATTAGAGAGAGAGAGAGAGAGAAAGAGAGAGAGAGGGAGAGGGAGAGGGAGGGAGGGAGAGAGAAATAGAGCTAATACAGTTGTGTTGTATTAACACAGGGTACAGCAGCCTGCCGCGGTCGACGCACAGCGCGCCGCTGGAGGAGAGCGGGGTGGGGGGTGCGGGCGGTGCGGGGGAGGGCGAGGTGTGCGACGGCGCCTGCCTGCTCAGCGGCGCCGCGGTCGACATCGCGCTCGCCTGCTGCGACAACACCTCCAGTAACACTGTTATCCTATTTTAACACCTTTTAAAAACATAACGTTCATATTTACACTATGGCGCGACTAACAATATTGTTAACATATGGTGTTTTATAAATCATAAACATTACTTACGAGTGTTCATCTTACTAGCGGCAGTCTGCGATTTACTCACGATATCAAAAAATTTAATCTGTTTAAACCGGTTGATCGCACAAAAGTTTGGCGGAGGTGACACACGACCGCGAGTTTAATATGAACCAGCACTTATGCCTGGTTCACATTTGGCCAGTAGAACAGGCCAGAAAAAGATTGCATAGCGTCATTGGCGCCAGTTAGTTTCCAAACTATACTAGTCCATTTATTGAACTAGTGCTCGAATCACACTTGGCCAGTACAGTTAGACGGTTGCGACGGCTAGTCATAAATTGTATAGACTCACTGGCGCCATTTCATGTTTACACTATGTCAGTTGATTGCCAATCCAGTTCAGCGCTGCTGATAAACTATTCTGGCCAAGTGTGAACCGGGCATAAAATGTACTGGCAAAGTATATCAGACATAAAATTAATATTACAGCTGCCTGTCCTGAGTATAGCCGGGATGCTTACGAGCACTCGTCTACTGAGTCTGCTGCTACGCACGGCACGCATGGCACGCATGTGTCGGGTCTGCATGGGGCGCAGGGGGTGTCGGGGGTGTCGGGGGCGCAGGAGGAGTGGCGCGCCGCGCTGCAGCCGCCCCCGCGCCCCTTCAGCCTGCTGCGCGCCTTCATACCCTCCTTCTTGTTCGTGTGGCTGTCGCTGGCGCTCGGCGCACTGCTGCTCTTCGAGACGGACTGGCCGCTGCTGCAGCAACTCAAACGTAAGCCAGAAATCATCTCCCTCAGACATCACTACTATACCCCCCTCAAGGAGTACTTGAAAAAGAAGGTCATCGAACTTTTCTGATTCTTTGTCAATCTCTATAGACGGATTTTTGAGGACAATATGCCTTGGTTTTTCGTTGTATTCATGTTGAATAGACTCTGGGTGGTGGAGGTCCGTCTGTAGATAGTTGTGAGCCATTTTGGTTTTTAGTGTTTTGTTGCTTCACAGCTTTACTAATGTTTAACGGATTATAGTTGTCTATTATTCCATTAGAGTAAGTGTGAGGTATTTCAGTGTGATCTAGTAAGTAGATCTAATTTTTTAAACCATTGTAATATGTCATCGGACGAGATAAATTAAAATTAATACAGAGTACAATTTACATTACATATGTAATGATGAATCTCGTGCCTTTCGCTGGCTGTTATTTATTTTAAAATTCATACAGATTTCACATCCAAGTAAAAGATCATGAAGTGAATGATTTTTAAACGTTTTTTTTTAATAATATCCAATTAGTTGTATACTTTCACTATGTATATTGCATTTGTATATATTCCAGTTATTACAAAAGATGCCAATACAAGCCAAAATAACTTTGACATAAAGCCTGATATACCATGTATATGTAATTTTCACATTTTTGGAGGTTGATATTTTAGTCGTAAAATATTTAGCAATAAAAATAGTATGTAAGGTCACAATACGCTTAATTTACGCACAAATTTTTCTTATATTTAGCTTTAAAATGTATTGCTAATTTTATCATTCCGCCATATTTATGGTATTGTATAAATCGATTTATCTAAATTAACAAATAATTTTATTTTGTTTTTATTGGTGATTATTATTAAAAAAAATGTATTTGATACACTAATGTGAAATGTTTGAGCTTTGAGCACAAAATATAGATATATTTATGTTATTGTTTGCTTCATGCAACATGTGTTTAAATTAATTTCTTAACCAATGTGAAATAGGAAGAATTTGTACGTGCTTGGCTGATCGGTTAAAGAATCTCGAGTTTATAACTTGATGTTATAACAAATTATGTTTACTAATATTATTTTAAATGTGAATTTTAATTATTGTTTGTAATATGTAACAAAAAAAAAATTCCATTCAAATTATACATTCCATTTTTTTTTAACAAAAGTGCCATAGAATAACGTTCCTTTTTATTTCATACATTACATTTCAATACGCTTGTAGATTATTAAATATGTATCCTTACATTCCAACATTATATAAATACTGATTTTTATAATTGTAAGATTTAAAAAAAAACTTGCTAACTACAGATTTTGGTATGATTTTAAACCACTGTTTTTTCATTTTTGTGTTTAGTAGCACTGATCTTTATTATTTGGATAGGCTATAATGCGTGGAATTTTGTACTTATTTGATATTCGCCATTTTGTCGCTGCCTTTTGCGGTGATGAAGATTCGAAATAATAGATAGAATTAACTGTCCTTAACATAAACAGACGCGTTTAAATTGGAACAAAGAGAAAGTCTTAAGCCTATCCATTTTGTAAAGATCATTGCTTGTGATTCATCTGTTTTTATTTAATCAATGTCCAAATAAATTAACAATTATGGTACAATAACTTTAAGATTTTTTTTCGTATATTTATGCATTTATATTGTGTTAAAATTATGTGATTATTTTTCTAGATTTAATTTTGATTTGACCTAGATTTATTTATACTCGATTATTTTTTTTTTTTGGTTTTATTCCTGATTTAACTCACTTGAATTTTATTGTAAATACGTTATTATTTATTTTTTGTATTAAGCCAGAGATGACTAATCTTATTGTTGTGCTTTCTGTACTTTGTTTTGATTTTTAAATTCTCACTAAGATTTTATTTAACTTATTTGCTTTCTAGTCATTATACTAATTACCTGTCAATAATGCTTGTTTTATTTTAATAAAAATTATGAAGCACCTAAAAGTGTTTTTTATAATTCACTAAATAACTTTTAAATTTACTTTTATTTTATATTGTTTCATTATCATTTTAGTTCCATTTATGTGAGGTATTCGAAGTTTTGACTTTGGAACTCTCTTTTTGGCCAAATAATTTCCCCGGAGTGATTCAAAACATGTGAATTTTTTTTAGTTATTCGATGACGTGATTTTTATTGTTGCTATGAAATAACATGTGCGTGTTTTACATTCTTGTCAATTAATGCCATTAAAAAACCTAGTTCCATTTAGAAAAAAATGTCCATTATTTGGTAAACTAGGTTATTTGTGTCCAATGAATTGGCCAATTTTATTAGCTTAATAATGATACTATTTAAGGTTTTTTTGGTGTTTTGACTTATTTTTTAAATAATCAAATAACCCGTACGTCCGACTAGTTGTGTTCCTAGTTTGTTTCTTTGGTTCGAGTACTTGTGTTATTTTCTATTACCATGGTAAATTTATTACAATTTATTTGAAAATTACAGTGTACTTAATATTTTTTTACATTAATTTCGTTTTAAATGCAATGTCTGCAAGTGTGGGATCATAGGGAACCTTTATTTGATTTGTATGCTAAAGTGTAATTTGTTTTCCTAATAAATTTTGTAACCCACTTGTACATCGCTATGCGATATTCCATTTAGTAATAAGTTTTGCACTTGACTTAGTAATTAATGATATGTGTAAATTATAATATAGAGTCGGGAATTTTTTGCATTCTAATGCTTCAATAGTCTCATTTCGAGCGTTTATTTGCGTGATTTCACATATTTATAGTGCAAAGTACATTATTATGGCTTGAGGATTAAAATTTGTAAAATTTCGGTATTTTGATGTAAAAGTAAATTTGTACTAACGTGAAATGTAATATAGACACTACCTGTAGTGGTTTTAATAAAACATCAAGTCGTTTAAATTCGCATTTTATTATTTTAAGAATAATTTTAAAATAAGCAACAAACAAATAACAACATAAAAAGAACATATGTGGTGCTACATACATCTGCTACATTTATTCAAACACTGTAATGACCTGATAAAAAGCGTTCGCGAAAGCTTCGTATTACTATGATTATATCATATCATACACTCATCACAGAACATACAGTATAGTATAGTACAGTACAGTACGGTATGGTACAGTACGTTATGGTACAGTACGTTATGGTACAGTACGTTATGGTACAGTACGTTATGGTACAGTACGTTATGGTACAGTACGTTATGGTACAGTACGGTATGGTACAGTACGGTATGGTACAGTACAGTACAGTACAGTACAGTACAGTACGGCACAGCGCAGCGGCCGCCCGCCGCATGCTATGTCACTATCATTAGTTATGGCACTCTCGCAGCTCTGCCGGATGAGGTGTTCCCTACGGGTTCCTTTACTTTGGTGTCATGTCAAACATTATGTCATTGAATCACAAGCACGCCAACGTCCTATCATAAATATAGCGGAAAATTCGATCACTTCAATAAATTCATTAAAATAAAATACATCAGTTACAGTGTTTTTAAGATACGGAGCAGTAAATAAACACAATATTCAATAAAAAAAAATCTTATAAATTCAGATTCACCTTGCTATCACTTAATACAATCATTTGAGCTTTGAATGATAAATGTATTCCATATCCACCCATATAAAATATCTAATTACTTAAGTTACAGCATAAAATAGTTTAGCGCTCGATCGGTCAAGTGATTAATACCTAGGAAGCTCAGTCCACGATGGATATCTGCGCGTAGCCCACCAGGCCCTTCTCGTCCAGCGCGTCCGCGGGGTCCGCCGAGTCCAGCCGGAAGGTGAGGGAGCGCGGCGGCGCGCTGCCCCCCGGGGCGGGGAACAGGTTGAGGTCGACGAGGCGCTGCAGCTGCGCCGCGATGGCCGCCGCGTCGCACGCCGCCACCAGGCCCGCCCCCACCAGCTCCGTGGCGATGCCGTCCGCAGAGTCCTTGCCGGGTGCGAACTCGAATCGTATGTCGTTCAGTTCCTTGTTGGCGTTGCGCATGCGCAGCACGAGGTCGATCTGCGGCGCCTCGCCGGCCGCCGGTGAGCCGATGGTGAATCCGGCACCCTCGGCCGGCTCGCCGTCGCTATCGCTGTCGGAGGAGTCAGCGCGCGGCAGCTGGTTCATGGGGCGGTCGCGGCCGCCGTCGCCCTCCTCGTCGTCGTCCTCCTCCTCGCTCTCCCACACCCACTCGCCGGTCTCCATGCGGTGCAGGCGGCCCGAGGCGCCGGGCTGCCGCTTGCTGGCCTTGTGCACGCGCGTCTCCATGCTCGGCCCGATCGACACCAGCGTCTGCATGAGGTACTTGCGGTCCTTGGCCTTCTTGAAGAACGAGTGCTTCAGCAGCTCCGTGGCGGAGGGCCTCTTGGTCGGGTCCTTCTGGAGGCACTCGGATATCATTTTCCTGAATGTTTTCCCGTACGCCTTGTACTGGTCCTTCTCCTCGGCGCCGGTGTCCAGCGTGGGCGGGTCGTTCTGCAGCGTCAGCATCAGTACTTTCATCGGCGGGTACTTGTGGTAGGGCGCAGTGCCGGTCGCCATCTCTATGGCGGTGATGCCGAAAGACCAGATGTCGGCTTTGAAATCGTAGCCGTGGTTTTGCTCCATGACCTCTGGCGCCATCCAGCAGGGGGTGCCGACGAAGGTGTGGCGCACCTTCTGCCGCGAGAGGTCCCTGCCGGTGGCCAGCCACGCGGACACGCCGAAGTCTGCGATCTGCACGGTGCCCTCGTCGCCGAGCAGAATGTTGCCGGCCTTGATGTCTCTGTGTATCTGTCCATTCTGGTGGAAGTATTCCAGTCCCTTCAGGACCTCCTTCAGAACGGTGGCGATGGTGGCCTCGTCGAACACGCCATGCTTGCAGTTGGAGATTCTCATCTTGTGCTTGATGATGTCCAGCAGGCTGCCTCCCTCGAGCAGACGCAGCACGAGCCACAGCTCCTCCTTGACGACGAAGCTGGTGTAGTATGTGACGACGTTTTCGTGGTTGCAGCTGGACATGGCCTGTATCTCCTTGAGGAGTTCGTCCATAGAGGTGTTCCACTTCTCGAGGTTGATGCGTTTGATGGCGCACTTCTCGGCGCGCGGCTGGCAGTAGGCGGCGTGCACGACGGCGGTGGCGCCCACGCCGATCACCTCCAGCAGCTCATAGTCCTCCTGACTGTTGGGCCAGGTGTGCCCCGAGCCCGCCATACTTATTCCTTCTTTGATATGGACGTACTGTATCAACTTATGACTATTATTTATATCTAATGAGGCCTGTAAGTTAGCACTAAACTGTATGTATATCTTAGGACTGAATTTTTAAACAGCTTTTGAAGGAAATGGTATAACCAAGTTATTCATATTGATATGATTTGTAGGATGATAATTTTGTATTATGAATTCTCTTCTTGATTTTGTCACCTCGATTCTGTGAAGCGGTTGGTTATTTCCTCGAAGTTCTAATATGGTTTTATCTTTTTTTGGATCACTTTCAGTGTTGAAATCTACATCGGACGGGTACAGATAGTCACCTGCAAGAGAAAAATATAGTTTTAAATATTAAATTCTTACTATTCATAAAAATAAACCATGTCATTAAGTTACCAAAGGAATCTTTTATGTTTTAATATATAACAACCTGTCTGAACATTATTAAATATTTATATCATTAAATCACATTTAATTGGATAATAATACTGAAATTCTCTAACTTTTAAAACCAGTTTGTTTAGTTTTGTAGACAGTAACAAGTCAAGAAGTTACATAACACACAGCAAGCATAAGCTAAAACTACAAAACAACTTCTTCATTTACATTCAATTATTATGCTAGCTTAACACATTTACGAGTATCATGGGTTTTAAATATTTTTACATGAATGTGGTTTTTTTGGTTGGAACCCTCCAGACATAATATAAGTTCACATCCATTTTCTTATAGGCAAAGGAATAGGAATAAGGTGTCAAACAGGAATATACTTTTTCTTCCCTTCCTCTGTCAAATAGGAAATCTAGTAATCACATCTGATTGTGAATATCTGGGCAGCAGTACTTTTACTGTTTTGTGATGGCCTCATGCCCACCTCATGCCACCTTTGAAATAAATAAAGTTTGACAATTGAAACAATTATTAAGATTTGCAAAATTTCAATATAGCTTGTTGGTTAAATATTAATTTAATTCTGACAATATAAAATACTTGCTTACGCCCGCGACTCCGTTCGCGTGGAAGTAGAAAAAAAGAGAGTATCCTATGTGTTCTAGACTATCCTCTATGTCTATGCCAAATTTCATCTAGATCCGTTCAGCAGTTTAGGCTACAAACTCTAACAAACATCCATCCATCTAAATGTACACATTTATAATGTAAGTAAAATACATACCTGGTAACAATTCAATTACTCCATCCTTAGTTTGTACAGGCACGGTGTATAATAATATGTTACCCCGAGGACTTCTTTCCTTAGCAAATGTTATTAATTCATTGATATCTGGTAAATATGATAATCTGCTAAACTCGTATGCTTGAGGTGGATAAAGCAAAACCTCAGCTTTACTACTGCTTTTTAATACTTCTGTTGGTGTTGACCACTAAAACAGGTAACGGAAAAATCAAACAAACAGGCATAAACAAAATAAAAAAGATTACTTATCATATTCTTCGGCCATATGCACTAAATTTAATTTCTTATAAGGATGGTATCCTCTTTATGTGCATCTCCTCTTCCATTGATTGGGTAGGCAACACATCTGCAATTACGGATGTCTATGGTTGTTTTGTCATTTTGGCGGATTGAGGTAACCACTTGCTTGTTTGCAAACTTATAGTGTTAAAAAATGTGTTAGGTTGTATACTTAAGTTGTTGCTTCTAACAAGATGAATATGGGATATTTTAAAATTTTCATGTAGGAAGAGTTTCCTTATAAACAAAAACATAAATCTGAATTAAAAATTGTAATACTGTTCAATAAATTTGAATTCAATCCTTTATTAAGTAATGCATTGTAGTTATTCTTTACAGTTTTTACAGTAATTAAATAAGTAATATATTAAAAATACACACCTCTACATTAACTACTTCAGAATTACTGTATATTGTAGGTTTATTTTCTAAAACAGTAACAAAGAAAGCTGCATCAAATCTCTTTGGTTGTTTGACAGGTGTAAGCCAGTTACTCCAGTAATGCAAAGCCCATATATCTGGATAGCATTTATATTCCTTGCAGAGTGTTAACAGTTCTGCAGGATTTTTGCTTACCTAAAATAGGTTTCAGATAATTAAAAATTTTAAATTAATTATTCCTGGAAAACCTTGAATTAGATTTCTGCATAAAACCTTCAGGAAGATTTAAAAGCGGTTTACAGGTTTACAGGTGTGAGTTATGTTGTAAAATAATTATAGTTTGATGAAACTTGAGGTTAACTAGGATTATTAATATAACAGTAATTGGTTTCTCACCCTTTCTCTCCAATGTTTTAGATCATCGTCAGTTAAAAGTGACGCCCAATCGGTGTTTCTTTCAGATTTTTGACTCTGACTGCATATAAGGAGTCCTAATTCTTCAAAAGTCTCCCTTATAGCAGTTATTCTCAAGGCGACATGCCTGATATAGAAATATCAACATTATTACTGAGCAAGCAAATTGTTTTGATTCATTGGTTCGTGAAATATCACACCTGGTTTATGGAACATTTAGACAAAATTTAAAACACTTATTAGGATTTTTTATGATGGATGTTTCTAGCAAGCCACTACTCTAATAGAGACTACAAAATGTAATAGGTTTGATGTTTTGGTAATATTAACTCTATTAAGAAATTTATTGAAATGTAACAACAAAATTTCATCATTTATATCAAAAGTGAAATATATACACTTGTTCAAATATAACCAATTGGATTATGAATTGTTGGAGAAACGTCACTGACAGATGGAGTGACAAAATACACACTAAAATATAAATGTAAAAGCAAATAAACTGATAGATTGAATCAATAACATTCTGTTCACATTGTGATTTGTCTAACAATTACTTGAACACAACAGTGTAATTGTATAAGTAAATTATTCAAATGAGATTGTACATACCTTTGAATTGGATTATTTTCAAATAAAGGCGTTAATGGACTTCCAATGCGATGGAAACTTTGAAAATCGTTCTCCGTATATCCAAAGGTACGGAGATGCTTGTACCACTCCTGGTCACCGTCGGCGGCCTCACAAACGCCGCCCGGGAACACCACACTATTCGGGAATGACGCGTTATGCGTTCGAGTCTGTAACAAGATGTCGTAGTTACAATTACCTGTTTCTCTATTCACAGATGTAATGTTTTGCTTTCTTTTGGTAGCGACTATTAAAGTGGCAGAATCACGCCAACATTTCTGTATAGCTTTTTTCATGATTGCTACAAAACAAAATGTAATGCACTAAAACAACCACTAACAGAGTTAAAACTTACAAGGTCGAATCTTACGCACTTCTATACAAATCCTATATTCGCCTTATCTAATATGTTTGATGATAATTTATTTCTCAGATAGGTTTGATGAACCTACAGAATATATAAAAATAGCTTAGAACATGAAATTGACATTCTCTCACATTTTTTTCACCATATTCTACTTGACGTTCGGATACTGCATTGCACGTCACCTTGTGTCAAAATAATCGATGAATGATTTATTTGTCAAATGCCATTTTTATAAGTTCGTCAAACATGCATTAAATTCCATGTTATTTAATCCAAAAAAAACTTTTATTTTTCAATTATTGGTACATTGTAAACTTTAATATTTAGTTGTTGTGAATTTGTCATAAAATCAGATCGGATATTACCATGATGACTCTCCAAGACAAATACAGACTATAATTTTTTTTGGAAACCTTTTCATATTTACTTTAAGCTTTTACCTTAGGTTCACAATGTCGAAACATTTTTACAAAAATATATTGTAACCCATCTTATTCTTTATGAAAAATGGAAAGTTTAATACGTTTTTGTAGATTCAGTATTAAGTATTGATGTCAGAGTTGCATTATGGGTTGGCATTTCTATTTCCATTTTAGACCTTTGCATTATAAAAAACATCCGAATGTAGTCATCAAAAAAACAGCAGTCTCATAATTAAACTGTAAAGGTAAAGGATTCACAGATTTTGTTTGACATGCGCAACAAGTGCGGCGCAGCAGAGGAAAGGGAAAGAGGCAAGCGTGACTCATTGATCAGGGCGCCTGTTGCTCGAGCCAAAGTTCCTATTTTCCTTTATCCTCATTACTGTCTGTCTCAGCCTGGCCTAGCCTCCCTTTGCTTAACCCTGTCCCATACCCGTCTCGGTTCGGACGTTCTGAATAATCTATATGACGCACGAAACGACTTATTTGCATACAGATTAATTTTAGCATGGTTGGCTGCCCCGAAAACCTGTTCCCAATATAATCTTATAGCATTTTTGTTTTATAGAGCAGGTTAATTTAATTACAAATCGTTCTTGATTAAGTTCTTGCTTGGAAACGTGCCTCATTGTATTAAAATCAATAATTTCTTCTGTTACGCCGAAAAAATATAAAATAGTATTGTGACTGGACGGTCAAATAAATTTCAGATAAAACATATTTTTTATAAGCCAGGTTTTAAAACCGTAGTTCATATCTTTACCGAAACAATTTTTCAAAGCTCGGTTTTTGGTAGTTTATTGCTTAAAAAGTGTACTAAAAACTGCAGTACCGAATGTAGCTCACTGAAGAGCTTTGTCTATAAATCGTTGGGCATCGCGTTAACTTTGCCGGCCGAGTGACAAATTTCTCGCTGCTGCGTTTAAAGTTTTATGACAACAAACAACTTGGGCAGCTTCCAACCTGGTTTGTTTCCTTTGTTTCAGGTTTGTGAAGCGTTTTTCTAATTTCTTTGCAGTTTGTTAAACTTGTAGTGTTAAACTCTTGGTATTTCAATGTGTATTGTTACGAAAATCCTGCAAAGTAGATGTACAGTGGTGTATATCACGCTTAGTATATCAATAATCGTATTTATTTCACAGTAAGCAAGAAGTCACATTTCGAGTTAAAACCATTTTTGTTTACAATATCAAATACAAATACAAATACAAATATTTTATTGGTAATCGAATTACAAGTCATAATTTTTTTAAAAAATAAAAAACTTTACATATATTA